GGATTGCCCAACCTTCCTTCCGAGGAGTGGCTGTTGGGTTTGAACCGCCAGCCGTCTGGTTAGCAGGCAAGTGTCTTAGCCACTATGCTACCAGACCTCCTCATAGTTTAGCTCATTTAACCAAGAATGTTTGCCATGTGCATTGTACTCTTTTACAGAATTGTCTATATGAAAGCAAATTGACAACAGTAAATCTAAAGCACAGTGGAAAGCTTTAAAGGGCAGAAAGTGTTAAGTTAATGATGGCAAACCAATGAGTAGAGATAGTGAAAATGGTGACAGAATGTAAAGTATGTAACCACTGTCACTGAACTGTACGTGTCAAAATTGTTGAATGGGTGTATTTTCTGCTGTGCATATTTTCACAAATTTTTTTTTTTTGCAACTTTTTAAATCATTTATAACCCTATTACTACAGGTGATTGCTATTAACATTTTAGCATATTTGTTTCCAGGATTTTCTCTCCAAAGTTTTTTTTTTTTTTTTTTTAATACAATGTGTATACTCCTTTTTACTGAACATTACAAGCATTTCTCCACATCATTAAAAAGTGTCAGCATCATTTTTAGCAACTGTTACATATGCTATTATGGGATGTATCATTACTTACTCCAATAACAGTGAAAATTTAGGTCATTCACAGCATTTTGCTACCATGAATGAGACTGTGATGAATATTCTCATACATAAAATCTAAATACACAATGAAATCTGTGAGAGCCAGAACTTGATGGGATTGCCTTCTGCCTTGTTTTTCTGGGCCTCTTAAGTTTTCTGTCTTTGACAGGAAATAGTTTTACCACTTTTCTATCATTCCCTATTAGTGCAAAATATTGGAGTTTTCCTTCTCTGACAGGTTTCATCTTATACAGGTTCCAGGTTTTGCAGATTTTACTGTACTTCTGTTTATGTGCTTAGGATAGATCCCAGCAGAAGAGTCATTGGATCAAAGGACAAATATTTTATTAGTCCACTATTTTAAAAAGTCAAGGAAAGGTTTATATTAGGAAGGAAACTTTCTTTATTGGTTACCAGGGAGGGAAGGGGAGGAGGAAATGCTAGATTAAAAAATTATATACTAAAGATTATTAGTGGATGCCAGGGGTAAGAGGGAGGGGGAAAGGGGAAGCTTTTGTTTATGGGTCATTGAGTTTATGCTAATGGTGGTGGAATATTTTAGAAAAGGATTGCAATAATAGTGGCACAATATGAAAAATGTCATCAATGTCCCTGAGCTATAAATGCAGAAGTTGTTATGTTGATGAATGTCTTGGTGTATATGTTTTCACCACAATAAAAATAGAAAAAAAAAAGAGTCATTGGATCAAAGACACATTTTAAGGATCTCAATACATTTATCAAAATTGCTTTTTAGAAACAAGTGTGTCAATTAGTACTCTCATCAGTAGTATGAGAATGATCACTTACAGCAACAGTAACAATGACAATGTTAGGAGCTTATACATACTGAGCACTTGAATATGAGCTAGGCACTAAGTACTTTATTGCTGTTATGTGCCATCAAGTCAGACCCGACTCATAGTGACCTCCTTGGGTTTCCGAGGCGGTATCACTATGGAAATAGATTGCCCAACCTTCCTTCCAAGGAATGGCTGGTTTGAACCGCCAGCCTTCTGGTTAGCAGTCAAGTGCCTTAGGCACTACGCTACCAGAGCTCCTACTAAGTACTTTACATGAATAAATTATTTTATCCTCAAAATAGCACTATGAGGTAGGTACTAGTCTTCCTACTTTAGATGAGGAAACTGGGACACAGAGAGGTAAAGGAATCTAGGAAAGTTTACAGAGCTGGAACTGAAACTCAGGCAGTCTGCTCCAGGGCCTGTCCTTAACCACTGCACATGGTGCTAAGAAAATGTTCACACATGCACTCCTAAACCTACCCATGGCTGTATGTCACCACGCTGTAGACTCTGGATGATCAACGTGAAACACTTCACCAAGTCTTGATATGAAACTACACCTTGGAAAACAAGTCAGTCTAACATTATTTTCATGGTATTTCTGCAAATCAAATAGGCTATTAAACTTACAGACACATAAATGAAGTAGAAGACAAGAATCTGTACTTTATGAATGTGAAGAAAGAGAAAGAAATTAAAGGCAAAAAAAAAAAGATTTAATACATTTGCAAAAAAAAAAAGATTTAATACATTTTTAAAGAAAGAAATCAAACTCAGATTGCCACAAAAGAACACAATTAGTAAAATATTAAGGAGTATCTTCCCATAACAATTCAAATTTTACTAAGGTATATCTTCTGGTTCATGTAAGTATAGCATAATAACCACCATATTATCCTTTTTTATACTTAGAAAGGAGGAGAAAAGAATAGCTTCTATAAATAGCCTTGTCTTAGTATAATTCTTGAACAGAATATGCCAATGAAGAAATGAATTTCATACAATAAAAACAACAATTCCATGCAAGATTAGTAATACAAAAGACTTAAAAATAAACCTAAAAAATAACAGGAAAGATTCTATTTTATAATCAGAATGGACACCTACTACTGCTCATTTTGCACCACAGCTGCTCAGCAAAATCGAGGTCACCCCGTGCTGTGAATACACTCTCAATGGATCGCTCAACTGCAGCAAAGTCGTGCTTCACTGTCTGAAAAAGAAGTAAACTTCCAAGAATACTCAGTTCATTGGAAAAAGAGAAAATAGTTCAAGGGCAACAAACTTTCAAATGCTACTCTAAGAAAAAGAGGATTCATGCACACCCACAAAGAAACATGGAAACAACACATTTTCTACAACTTCATTCACTAACAAATACACAATGAAAACTAGACTCTTAAGATTGTTTTAAAACTCTGGTGCCTAAAAACAAACATTCAACTTTCCACATAAAAATATTTATCAAATTACCTATTTCTACATTTTCCTATTCATCAATTGAGGACATATCTAGCTTAATTTAATAATACCATCTTATGGCATATTAATATATCATTTTATAACATATTCATATACCAAAATAATAATATAGTAGTACCATCTTATAGAATACTAACATACTCATTTCTACTTTTCTATAATCAAGCAATTTATATATGCATGCATCAGTTATCTTAAAAAAATATATTTATTTAAGAAAAAAAAAATATGCACAAATGCAGACATTAAAGCTGCCCCCAAATGCTGCCTTGGCTGTACCAGATCCATTTGAGATAGTACAACATGAAAGATAATGATACAATGCAATTTTTAAAGCTATTTCAGTTTACATTTCTAAATGATGACAATCACTTACCTCCGAGTCTTTTTTTGTAGAATCACCAAATCCATCCAGTTTATTTAAGTCTAGAAAGTGGCAAAAACTTATTAACTCTTAATTTTATTTTTTGCTTTTCAAGTTATTCCCATCCTAATCTATCTTCAAATGGACAGTAGAAGTATAATTGTGGATTTTAAGCAAATCACTTTAACTCTCCGCTGGTGGTAATAAGAGCTACCCATTAGTTAGGGGGCTGATGAACTGAGGTAGTGTGCCCCTAACACACAATGTGGGGTACGTGGTAGGCACTCGAAAGGTTACTGTTACCACTCCTCTGTTTCTACAATCTCAAATATGGTTCTGTTACATAAAACTTAAATCTCATTTGTTTTTAAAATCATTTGACCTTTACCATTAGCACTTAGAAACCAGAGCTGTCTCTTCCTTCTCCCCAACAGACCTCATAAGCTTTATCTATAACCCACCAAAAAGAATATCAAGCCTGAAAAAATAATTTATACTTAAATATAGCAAGCATAAATTCTCAGTAAAAGCAAACAAACAATATACAAGGCCAAGTTAGGAAAACAAACACCATTTAGAAATTCCTGCACAAGTTCAACAGCAGATTTCACTTCCAGAGGCTCAGGCCACTCAGTTACACCAGTCCTCAACCCATCAGCCAAGACCTAGGGGAGATTAAAGAACCCAAAACCTTGTTAGCAGAAAACGAAGCTGAACTGATAAAGATATATTTAATAATGTAAACGGCAGTAATATTTGTTGAGCATTTACCACATGTCAGGAAACAGCCTAAGTGCTTTGTATGTTGTGTGTTATTTAAACCTCACAATCACTCTATGAGGCACATATTACTATTATCCCCATTTTATTGAAGCTAAAAGAGGCCAACTAAGTTGTGCAAGGTCACACATTAGTGAGGTCACACATTAGTGACTGAGAGGGCCACGGGATACACCCAGCAGTCTGAGTGAAGATGGTGCCATGGGCACAGACGCTACAGAGGATCTAAGACTGATGATACTGAGCCCACCCAGGAGATGCTTGTAGTTTGGGCTAAGGACAGATAATACGGATGAAATAATGGGGGAATGACAAATGTGAAACTGGAACCTTCTGTAAAAATAATATTCATATACACACAATATCTAAATAGAAATAAAGAAAAGGGATCAAGATAGGCTGGAATAGGCAGTGAAACAATGGGAAACTTCAGCGGCAACTTAAATGTGGAAAGGCATGGCTATAAAGTGAGAAAAAGCATGGAACAGATAAAGAAGGTAGGATGATCCCAACCAGGATAGAGCAAAAAAGCCAGGGAAATACGAAGCTACAAATTGAAGTATGCTCTCCTCTCCCTCCCCCGTCCCATATGTGTTGAAATACTGACCCCTGTGCCTGTAAATATGACCCTGTTTGGAAGCAGGGTTTCTTCTATTATGTTAATAAAGCCATGCCAGTGTAGGGTAGGTCCTAAATCTATTCAGCTCTGCGTAATAAAAAGAGCGGAATAGACACCCATACACATACAAGGGGGAAGATGAACGTGAAGGACCTCCCGGGGCTACTGACAAGGACAGACCCACCCTCAAATCCAATGCACTGATTAGATTTCTTGCCTCCAAAATGGTGAGAAAATAAATTTCTGTTCTTTTTAAAGTCACGCACTTATATTATATTTTGTTATAGCAGCACTAAGTAATGAAGAAAAATGGAGAAAGGAGTAGAAGGGAAGGGGGTTAGGCCATTAAGGGATCTTACACTGAATACCACCACTTGTCTGTCACTTTGTTGTACTGTGGTGCCTTGCTGTGATGCAGGAAATTTTGCCACCAGTATTTCAAACACCAACAGAGTCACCCATGGTGGGCAGGTTTCAGCAGAGCCTCCAGGCTAAGAAAGAGTAGGAAGAAGGATGTGGTGGTCTACTTCTGAAAGAATTGGCCACTGAAAACCTTATGAATAGCAGTGAAACACTGTCTGTGCCAGAAGATGAGCCTCTCAGGTTGGAAGGCACTCAAAATATGACTGGGGAAGAGCTGCCTCCTCAAAGTAGAGGAGGAGAGATCACAGCCAGGTACAAATCTAAGATTTTGTTATAAGGGAGATTATAACAAAATGTGAACTTTTGAGTCAGACAGATGGATGTGCGTTTGAATCCCAGCTCTTCCACATGCTAGTTGTTGTCAACCAAGAGATATCACTATACCTCCACTAGAATGACTATAATAAAAAAGAGAATAATATCAAGTAAAGGCAAGGATGTGGAAGAAATGGAGTGCCCATATGTTGCTGATGAGAATGTAAAATGGTATAACCACTTTGGAAAACAGTCTGGCAGTTCCTCAAAAACTTAAACATAGAGTTACCATATAATCCAGCAATTCTATTACTAGGTGTATACCCAAGAGATATGAAAAGATATGTCCACACAAAAATTTGTATACAAATGTTCATAGCAGTATTATCCTCAATAGCCAAAAATGGAAACAACCCAGTGTTCATCAACTAAAGAATGGATAAACACGATACGGTATATCCATACAATGGAATATTATTCAGCCATACAAAGGAATGATGTTCTGATACATGCTACATGAATGAACTTTGAAAACATTATGCTAAATGAAAGGGCCTAATCACAAAGACCACAAATGGAATATTAATGATTCCATTTATATGAAACATCCAAAATAGGCAAATACGGCACATAACAACAACATAGACAAGAAACAAATTAGTGGTTGTCAGGGGCTGAAAGGATCGGGGCAGTGGGCAGTGACTGCTAATGGGTAACAGGGCTGCTTTTTGGAGTGATGAAATGTTTTAAAATTCATTGTGGTGATGGTTGTACAACTCTGTAAACATACTAAAAACTATTAAATTATAACTTAAAAGAGATGATTATTAAGGGATATAATTTATATCTCAATAGAACTGTTTTAAAAAGAAGAAAGAAAAGAAATAAGAAAGGCAGTGGCTAAATCATTACTGGCTTGGTATGCCTGACTAAGACACGTGGAATTTCTAACTGAGGCACCCTCTTGAGATTCAATTTGTGGAGTGGAGCTAAAATTACTGAAACATAAAATCTTGAAAAACATGCTCATCAATCTTTAGCTTCAGTCAAAATCCCAGTTATTAACAAGCAGGTTATATATATATTTAGAATAAACTGGCAGCTGACCCATTTGAAAAGGAGGGATCCATTATATGAATAAAAATCAAACACTACAATAGAAAAGTTAAATGAACTAACTTACATTCTCTTTAATTGTAGGACAACTACCATATACTAAAATTAAATTGCCCAAATTTCCAAGAGTATCTAACAAATACATAACATTTAGAACAAATTTTGAAGAAAGTAATATTAAATATGAATTATGTTAAACATTTTTATGAAAACATGAGATTTAATGGAAATTAAAAATTCCAGAAGGATACTCACAAGAAGAAATTTCATTTGTCTGTGGAGATTATTCAAAGGACTCCTTGACTCTCCAGATTCCACTTTAATATTCTAAAAAGTTCCCAAAGTATGTTAGTTTTCACTGATAATCCCATCTTCTACACATAAGGATTATAGTCACTTATCACACATTAAAAAACATATTTCGTAAGATGCCATGAATTGAAAAATTAGGGCAATACCTCATTTAGAACACTGTACCTAGAGACACTGCAGATTCTGCCACATCCTGATATAGTAATCTAATCGCAGGCCACCATACCTCTCTCCATACCATAAGAAAATTCTATCTACATGGACCAACTGCTCTCCTGTCCTTTACTATTAAGTTCCCAAGAGGACATGATAGAAAAAATAATAAAATAAACACATTGCAAGACTCAATGGTAAACTTAGCATTATCATATACCAAAAATGAAATTCCCCAAATAAATCTATTCCTTCCAACTAAACCAACAATGTGTTGTGTCAACCAGAGGTCCAAGTTTTACAAACTTAAGATTTTTTTTTTAAAGACAAAGAAAAAGAATAAATATTCATTTACATAAATTCCTACTACAGAGAGGAAGACAGCATAAACAATATAATTACCCATAATCCCACAGTTGCAAGGGAACCACTGTTAATACAGTAGCATGTTTCTATCCTGGTTTCTTTCTATACATTTTTTTAAAAACATAGTTGAGATTCTACTATATATGCAATTTTATACTTTTTTCTCTCTTGCTTAATTTCTTATTACTACTTAAGATATTTTAAAACATGAATTTTAAATACTCTATACTATTTCATCTCATGAAAATCTATCTAACCATTTCCCTAATATTGAACATTCTGGTTTTATTATTATTTACTTTTGAACCACAGTTATATCATTAAATGGAATATCTTTGTACATAAATTTTTATTAGCAATTCTGATTAATTTCTTAAGCAGATATCTATCTAAAAATGTAAAGATAAGATGGAAGGGCATAAACTATTGTAAAGATTCTTTTTTTTTTTAAATTTATTGTGATTTGGGTGAAGATTTACAGAGCAAATTCACTTTCCATACAGCAGTTCACATATACTTTGTCTCATGTCATTGACCAGTTTAC